TCTGCACGGAACTTCCTACTCCACACACCACTCTACTGATATACTTCCCACTCCACACACTGCTCTGCACGGAACTTCCTACTCCACACACCGCTCTACTGATATACTTCCTACTCCACACACTGCTCTGCATGGAACTTCCTACTCCACACACCGCTCTACTGATATACTTCCTACTCCCCACACCGCTCTACAGGGGCACTTCCTACTCCACACACTGCTCTACTGATATACTTCCTACTCCACACACCGCTCTACAGGGGAACTTCCTACTCCACACACCACTCTGCAGGGAAACTTCCCACTCCACACACCGCTCTGCAGGGGAACTTCCTACTGCAATCACTGCTCTACAGGGGAACTTCCTACTCTACACACTGCTCTGCTGAGGCAGTAGAGGGATTTCTCTCCTTCCACTTTCAAATGTGTTCCAGGATCTACCGCCTCTAATAACCCCACCTCCTGTCTTTAAACCAATTATATTATAAAGGAATAGAATAACTCAAACCAAACACATTAAATCCATGTCTCAAGGCCAATCACCTCCTTCACCCCCAAAAACCCGCTGAGGTTGGAAAGCGCCGAGTCTCTTCCGTAGTGCATGAAGTAGTTCGCAGACCCAGCAGTTCGCCTCCTCCAGCGTTTGCACCATATTGGCTTGTAAGCCTGAGGCAGCGTGAGGGCCACCCGGCAGAAGCTTGGTCTAACGGCTGGTAACCAAACTAACTCAAGTCCTTGAGGGTGAAAGCATTGGAGACGTACACTCCATTGGGTCTTTGCAGTTTGTTTTTCATAGTCTAAGGAAGGAACTTCCAGTTCTTCCTGGCTAGATGTAATTTAAGATGTGCATTTGGGTTGTCTCAAATATTGCCCTCAGCTTAGTCAAGACCTATAGATTTAGGAATGATAGCTAGTTTTAAGTAGCTCAAGATAATCTGTTAAAATGACGTTCAGGGTCCAGCCCGGTGGCATAGTGGTTAAGTTCTCACGCTCTGCTTCAGCGGCCTGGGGTTTGCCAGTTTGGATCCTGGGCGCAGACCTACGCACCGCTCATCAAGCCATGCTGAGGCAGCATCCCACAGAGAGCAACTAGAAGGATGTGCAACTATGACATACAACTATCTATGGGGGCTTTGGGGAGGAAAAAGGAAAAAAGGAGGAAGATTGGCAATAGATGTTAGCTCAGGGCCAAGCTTCCTCAAAAAAAAAAAAAAATCACATTCAGTTTCAGTTAACAGATATGGTATCTCAGTGAGGGATTTTTTTAAAGTTTTTTGTTGTTTTGTTTATACTATGGATGTAGAAAGAAACTGGGCTCTGAAAACTTTAGTTCTGATCCTTGCTGGCTCTAACCTTGACTCTAACATAAACGTACATGCTGCATCCTGCAATACCAGTGAACGACCAGGTCCAGCTGCCATTCCGTTCTAGCCATTTGTTGAATCAGAACAGAAAGCCCTGGAGATAGATATTAGAACCTCAATTCCAATACTTTCCAGAGTGAATAAGTTTTACCCAGGTTCCAGAGAAAATAATACATCATGACTGTCACAGTCACTCCAAGCTGTATGGACCAAGCAGACAAGCTTTCAGGAAGGGTGCCCTTTAACCAGTATCATTATACTGCATGAATACAAATAAACTAGCTAAAAGGGTTATGGCTTTGCTGGCAAGGGGAAAATAAATTTTAATGGAGGAGACACCCTATACAACAGATTTATCAATTCCTGTTCATCTGCAATCTATTTATCAAAAATGAGTGGTCATTAGACCCGACTCTTGCCCTCTTCTCACCTCATTGCTTCTGATTTAAGCAATCTTCCTTTCCACCACAATGCCACCACCACCTCTTTGCTCCTCACACCAGTTTAATTCTTATAAAAACAACCGCTCCTTGTTTCTCCTCACCTTAATGTGATAATCCCTCCAGGTAATCCTACCAGCGACCATCTGTTGATGCCCTGGCACTATGGAAACTTCACCTCCCTCAGCTCCACAGCCCCATGAGGCAGGGACAGAGAAAGTGGGCCAGGCTTGTCCAAGGTCCGCGCGGTGGCGGTGGCAGAGAAAGCCAGGTCCACCTGTGAGGTCCACGGTCTCTGCACTCGTCACCATGCTAAACCTCCTCCCACCAGAGAGCAGCCACCTTTCCAAACTAAGTGCTCCTCTTCCCAACCTCCTTCAGGATCTATGGTCGGCGTCTTCATTCATGCAGCGGCTACGAAAATCTACCCATACTCCCTCCCCCAATCTGTTTAATAACCCTGTATGGAGTAACCCATGTCAGGCCTAGAAAACACTGGAAAAGGGGCGGGTGGAGAAAACAAGGAAGGAGCAGGTAGAAAAAGGACAGGAAGCGATGAGAAGCGCGCGCGCGGAGGGGCGTCACTAGTGACCCTTGCCCGCTTCCCACCCTCACCGCTCTCAGCGACCAGCGTCACCGCTACAACGTGCCTCGGGGGCGAGGCTCGTTCTGTGCCGCAAAGAATAAAAAGCTCTGAAGTAAAGGCACTCTGCACCGGCTGCGCGCGCTTCAACCTTTTTGTTTCTCTTTTACTACAGCCAGTCTCGAAGTTTCTAAACCGCACCAGTAATACAATTAGCGATAGGGAAGAGTGTTCCACAGCACGCGTGCAGCAGTTCACTGTGCAGAGACAAGCTGCTGTGGTTTTAACTCGCACCCACAAGTGGCTGCGGGTCCCCGCCAGGCCTGACTCCTGGCTCCGGGCTACGTCTGGGCGCCCCGCGGGCAGGCCGCGCTCCGGTGACGACCGCATGCAACCACTTGTGTTCACTTTTTACTTACAAGCGAGAAAACAAAACAAGATCCAACGTCCCAAAGCCAACTTTCCAGGCGACCGGGCGGGGGGCGCCAGGAGCGCCAGCCTGTAGGTCTCCACGGCCCGACGCCGGGCAGAGATCGCCGCCCGGGGACAAAGGCGGCCGGGCACGCCCTGCGACCGTCGCCGCCCGCACCACAAGGAGGCGGCGCCGAGGTCCCCGAGGGGCTTTTCGGACCAAAAAGCCAAGCTGCCGCCACGGACCCGAGCGCTCCCCTCCAAGACCCCAGCTCCTTCCCGGCGCCGCGAAGTCCCCGCGCCCAGGAGCCCGCCCGGCGCCCCCGGCACCCCT